GTTTTTCTCACTCACTCTCACTCTCAGTTTGACTGTTTCTCAGTTAAGGGTGTAACAGATTCTGCCTCAGTGAGAGCAGACTGACAGAGCCTCAGACGGTTTCTGCTGTTTATTAAATGAGTTGCTGAGTCCAGCTTCATTGCACAGATGTAAAGTGCTTCTTTTCCTCATGCTGCAAGCTTATGATGTTTAAAGAAACTCATCTGTTTACTGTTGATTGTCTTAATTAATGACTTTTTATGTTGAGAGGTAAAGACAGAAATGCTGTGTGCAGTTTTAATTGCTGATTCCCTGCTTTACAACCCGACAGTTGAAATAGAAAGAACTTTGTATATAAATTACTCATAGGATTAAAAGTAGTTTTTTTTCCTTTGAAATCACAGCAATTAAATAAGTTTTTTCTGCAGATGTTAAAATTATAATTGTGTATTCCACCTCAGCTGGATCTTTTTGTTTGTTTGTTTGATTAGAAAAAGAAAACATTAAAAACTGAGGTTAGGTCCTCATGTGCTTTAAGTTTCTATGCCTGATGGTAAGGTGGCACCTGAGATCATGTCTTCTCTTTGTTGAGCCTTTTTCTTTATCTAAGAGCTTCTTTAAGCGTCTAAAGCAGATCTGAATGAAAATGTCAGAAAACATGAAGAACGGAGGTTAAATGTTGATCTCTTTTATGTCACTGTGGTTCACTTTTGTACAGGATGAGCTCCTCAATGTGAACTCTGTTTAGTCTTTCTGAAGTGACACAAGTACAAGTTCCCATCCTTCACTGTGTGATTCATTGAGTTTTGTTTTCCTTGCTTCCCTTAAGATTGAATTTATGTTTTTCTATGGTTACTCTGTTTAAAGAATAGTTTTGAACTGAATACAGACTCAGTGCAGCTTGTGTTTAAACTCTGACATGATGAAGAGTTGATGATCCTTTAGCAGCTCGTTACAGGATGGAGAATAACTTTGAAATTGTGTTTGTGCTTCAGGGTCTGAACGACTCGCTGACAAACCGTCAGATCTACTTTGCCTTTGCTCTGATGTCGTACCTCTTCACCGTGTCTGTAAACCTGACCCTCATCATCACCATCAGCCTGGATAAAACGCTCCACGAGCCGATCTACATCTTCTTGTGCAGCCTTTGTTTTAATGAGATCTGTGGAGCTTCGAGTTTCTACCCAAAGCTGCTTCATGACCTTCTGACCAACTCTTATGTCATCACGTACACGGCCTGTTTGGGGCAGATGTTTGTCACTTATAGTTATATTTTCTCTGAGTTCACCAGTCTCACTGTCATGGCGTATGACCGCTACATCGCCATCTGCAAACCACTGCAGTACCGGATGCTGATGACAGCTCAGAAGGTAGCCCAGCTTCTGATGCTCACCTGGTGCTTCTCAGTTTTTGAAACGGCTGTGGGCACCGTCCTGACCGCCAGGCTGCCGCTCTGCGGACGCCACATCCCCAAGATATTCTGCACTAACTGGGAGGTGGTCAAACTGTCATGCTCTGACTTGACCCTCAACAATATCTATGCGTTCATGTTGATATTTTCACACCTGTCACAGACTGCACTAATCATGGTGTCGTACGTCCACCTGATACGAGCTGCCATCAGATCTCAAGCCGACCGCAGGAAATTCATGCAGACGTGTCTGCCACACCTCATTACACTGCTGGTCTTCACCACCTCACTGATGTTTGATACCATGTACTCTCGTTACAGCGGCGGCAGTACAATGAAGGCCCTGCAGAATGCATTAGCTGCTCAGTTCCTGGTGGTCCCACCCCTCGTCAATCCCATCATCTATGGCTTGAACCTGCAGCAGATCAGGTCCAGGATGGTCCACAGGTTCACCCACCGGACTGGGACATTCAGGAAAAACTAAGCCATGTTAATGAAATCAAACATGAAGAAAACATAGGAAGATGAAGTTATTTTCTAATCTTCTGTTCAAGTCAACCAAAATATGTGGATAGAATTCAGTTAAAACTAATAAAGTCCAATCCTAAAATGTCACTTTTGGTTCTTAGTACTTTAAGTTAAAGTTTATGTTTCATTGTTTTAGTGTCCTGTGCTCGAAGGGTCAAAGAATTATCACTCTGTTCCTTTCATTTGTTTAAAGGAATCTGTGTAAAGATTGGTTAGATTCTAGTAAATGCTAAAACTCCTTGTTACTTCCCACCTTTAAACCGTTGTACTCACACCGGCTGCAATGAAACTGAATGAAAAAATGTTATGAAATGATAGTCATAATCCACATGAAAAGCACCATCCCAGCCACGTTGGGCACCCTGCAGCACACACACTTTTAGTGTCACTGCTGCCCTTCATACTGCCGTCACTAGAGGGCAGTGACACTTATGTATGAACGCTGCTCATCAACTTCTCTTCAGTATCCAGTACTGTGATACCACACAGACTAACTCTGGATACTGTAGCTCCTATGAAAACCTCAAATCAGAAGTACCTGACTCCGTGGTATAATTCTCAAACACGTAGCCTAAAGCAGACGACTCGTAAGCTGGAGAGTCACAAATTTAGAGGATCATCATTTTGCCTGGAGAAATAGTTTGCTGCTTTATAAGAAAGTCCTCCATAGAGCTTGAACATCTTACTATTCGTCACTGATTGAAGAAAATAAGAACAACCCCAGGTTTCTCTTCAGCTCTGTAGCCAGGCTGACAAACAGTCAGAGCTCTGTTGAGCCAACCATCCCTTTAACGTTAACTAGTAATGACTTCATGAACTTCTTTACAAATAACATTTTTATCATTAGAGAAAAAATGACCAATAATCATCCCACAGATGTAATATTATCTACAGCTACTCTTAGTACCATTGATGTTAAGTTAGACTCTTTTTCTCCAATTGATCTTTCTGAGTTAACTTCAATAATTACTTCCTCCAAACCATCAACGTGTCTTTTAGACCCCATTCCTACAAAACTGCTCAAAGAAGTCCTGCCATTAATTAATGCTTCGATCTTAAATATGATCAACCTATCTATAATAATTGGCTATATATATATAAAGTGGAACCCTGACTTACGAACACCCCATTTAACAAAAAATTCATGTCCAAAAGTCTCCTTCTATTTCAGTCACATAGTTATAAGTGCACTCACTGGAAATATCTGCCGATAAGTTCCACTTTGTTCTTACTGTTTGCTGCGGTGATGACCTCACATGCTTTTATGACGGTCCTGCCGTATCACGAGTCCTGGGAGCACTAGGCATGTTTTTCTCCATGGTCCTGTCCAAATTCCTGGGCTGCTTCCTCCTGAGGCCGCATTTGTAGACCGATTACGTCACAGCGACGCGCCGAAGGCTGTCCAAATTCGTAGACTCCTCCGAATGCAGCCGACAAATGCGTCCTCCTTTTCCCCGAATTTGAAGGATGGGTCGGGTGTGTCCTTCGTGGCCCACCATATCCCAGAATTCATAGCGCGGCCCAGCCAAACTCCAGTTTCCAACGATGGCGGCCGCTACTAAGTTTTAATATTACTCATACTAATCTTTCTGGGTCACAAAATAAACTTTTAACATATTTTCAGGCGAGAATGTAGCTGTGTAAACATCAAATATCTGCTCGGTTTATCAAGATATCGCATATTTGCAAAAGTGCTTCGACGTTTTCGGAGACGTCTGTTACCCACCAGCTTGATAGCTCGCCGGGAGCGCGAGGGTCACTGGAGCCGCCGAGAACGGCACAACTCCCGGCACATCATTTTCAGATCACCGCGGACTTTCACTGCTCGGGTTAAATGTAATATATAATTCACTTAGACAACCTAAAAATGTTATTGTTGGGCTTTTTTCAGTGTTTTATTTGTTCGTGAGTAAATCGGTTTGGCTGAAATTAAAGTTATTAAATTAGATAAAATAAAACTTTATTAATGCCCCGGGTGGGTTCTTCCTTGGTTTTCACACAGCTGAATAAAAGTCAAACAGAAAACTGATTGAACAGAAGTGGGAGACGGTCGAGAGTTTACTCCAGTGTCCTGTTATATTTTAGACAGCAAGGAGCAGACGGCCGAGTTTATTAAACTCCACCCAGACAGCGGTGACGCAAATCAGAAGGCTGGACTGTCCAATTTCCCCAGCCGTTTACTTCCGGCCTACCCGACCTTCTGAGGACCCGGCCCACGTTGACCGCGAAGGCTGGGTCCTCAGGAGGATGCAGCCCATGAATTTGGACACGACCCATGAGTGCGGGGGAATCCGATCGTTCAGTCTGACGTCACTAGCCGTGTCTGGGCCTAAACTCTGCTGCAGGTCCATATATCAAACGATCACTATGGCATTACTGAGAGTTAAAAACTGTCTAAAGTCTTTCATCTTTAATAAAATGATCAGCGTTCTGCTCTACCAGGTGTAACAATTGAGTTTAACATCCAGGCATCCATGAAAACGGAATTTATGACATTTAACGGAGTTAGAAGTTAGCAGGGAGTTAGCTCGCTAGCTTCTATCTAAATACAATATAGCATGTCCTGACTGCGGGGTTTTGGAAACAAATTCAAACGTACAGCTCTGTTATCACTTCCAGCATAAATGAAGACAGAAACTAAACAGCAGTGACGTTTGTAGGGTCACTGAAGTTGGGCTAGCTGCTATATAATGATGTGCTACGTGACCGCTAGCGACACAGCTATGTTAGCATAATATAAACAAGCTAACTTTTTTTCCACTGGATAAAAGTTAACGTGAGTGTTCTCGGTGGTCAGGAACAAATGTAATCGCATGGCAGGATGCTGTAAAAGGACCAAACTTCAGCCAGGAGAACAACGGAGATAATCCATCCACAATACGAGGTTAGTGATTCATGTACTGCTGCATGGGCTGGGCTGTAGTTACATCCTAAGGTTTTAAAAACTGAGCTTAAATAAATGATTAGTGGTAATAAAAGCCGAGGGAGGTCAACAGGGATCACTGACTGTTTTAGGAGCTTTTTGAGATCAAATAGAAGAAAATACAAAACATTAAACATGTTAACAACACAAAAGCCATATTAAACACAGACTACTTTAGGCCCGGAAGTAGGATTCGTCACGTCACCACTGAACAACTGGGTGTGCGTTCCTGCACAAATGTGAGTCAAAATCCCTCCAGTTCTACGAGTCCATTTCTACTTATAGCACGGGTTGTACTTTGACAATAATTACAGGGGGTTTATGCTAGGAGATTTGTCAAGATTGGTAGGGGCATGTGACTTACCACGGTAGCCTTTGTTGCGGGTTGGATCTGTGCACCGCAGTTGGGTTATTTAGCCACTAGAGGGCACTGAAGACCATGTAATTGTGAACTTTTCCTAACTTTGGGGCATTAGGTCTTTTCTGTTGCCTCACATATGCAGGTATTCTTGTTTCCTGCCTGTTCAAATGGGATTGTGGGACTTTCTTGTGTCAGAGCCTTCACCTCTGAGCATTATTTGTGTTACAGTTCATTATATTGGTGTGATGTTGGGAAGTGATGTTTGTTATATTTACATGTGATAATTGTGTAGAGGTGTAAAGTGTAGATACTGTAGGTTCAGTGAATGCTTAAATTGTACTGATTAGAATATACTGGACATTCAAGAGATTCAGTGCATTGTGTTTGTCAGGTCTGGACGCTGATCAGCGGTTTCTATCTTTCTCTCTCACTTCCATTCTCTTTCTGTTGGTGGGACAGATTCATGCCCTCGGCCCACGCCCTCAGAGAAAGGAGACACCTGAGCCTAATCAAGGTTATGAGCATTTAAGCCAGGAGGTGACTGCTGTTCTTCGCTGGATCGTTGTCTGCCACGCGTTAGTGAAAGTCAAGCCACAGCAAGTTCAGTTAAGTGTTTCTTTTTACTTTGTATTTAACCACGTCTCCCTGTCTACAGACTTCCTGGATTCTTCCCCGTGTGATTCTCGAGTGGCGAGTGTTGGAGTGAGATCCTGCTGTGTGTGGATTGTTTGGAGAACGCGTGCCTTCCCCTTGGATTTCCCTGGAGCCCCGTCCCTCACTCTGTTGTACAAAGAACTTCCCTGCACCTTTTTGTATATACACTTGGTGGACTTGTAAATACAACTCTCTCGTGTGAATCTGATCCTGGAGTCCTGCAATTGAGTCCTCTACATACAACCGTAACAATAACGATCCAGCCAGCATGGACTCAGCGGACTCAACCCCAGAAGCAATCTTGGAACGCCACGAATAAACGCCACACCTTCCGTGGACCCGCTAATGCTTCTACCGGCCGCACCACTCACGACCAGTCACTTATCCAGCCTGTCTCAGCCTGAGCGTGAGAGCATGGACAAGTACATCAACGAGTCACATACAGCAGCTCCGCGTTCGAGCTTCTCCAGGGGGCCACCATCTTCATTAAGTTGGACCTGTGCAACGCCCACCATCTGGTAAGAATAAGAGAAAGGGACGAGTGGAAAACAGCCTTTAACACTCACCTCAGCCATTTTGAATATCTTGTTATGCCGTTTGGTCTCACCAATGCTCCAGCTGTTTTTCAGGCCCTTGTGAACGACGTGCTCCAGGACTTCATCAACCTCTTTGTCTACCTGGATGACATCCTCATCTTCTCCCGCTCTGTCACCGAACACCACCGCCATGTCAGGCAAGTTCTTCAACCCCTCTTGAGAACCGTCTCTTTGTAAAAGGGGAGAAGTGTGAGTTCCATGTCACTACTGTTTCCTTCCTGGGCTACGTCATCGAACAAGGTAATCTCAAAGCTGACCCTGTTCAAGCAGTTGTTAACTGGCTGACCCCGTCTAACCGTAAGCAACTCCAAAGTTTTCTGGGATTTGCAAACTTCTACCAACGTTTCATCTGCGACTACAGTAAACTTGCCTTGCCACTGAATCGTCTCATTTTACCCAAGGTTCCTTTCTGCTGGGATGAACCGACTCGACAGGCCTTCACTCACCTGAAAGAACGCTTTGCCTCGGCACCCATCCTCGTCCAACACAACCTCAGCCAACAGTTCATCGTGTAGGTGGACGCCTCAGATGCGGCAGTGGGGCGGTGCTCTCCCAGCAACAAGGCGGTAAGCTTCATCCATGTACTTACTTGTCTCACGCCTCTCCCCCGCAGAGAGAAACTATGACGTGGGAGATCGAGAACTACTGGCCATCAAGCTCGCCCTGGAAGAGTGGCATCACTGGCTGGTGGGCGCTGCCCAGCTATTTGTGACGTGGACTGACCACAAGAACTTGGAGTACATTCGGTCGGCTAAACAACTCAACGCCAGGCAAGCCAGGTGGGCCCTGTTCATTACCAGATTTACCAGGTTCCAGTAATGTCAAGCCCAACGCTCTCTCACGCCAATTCACCGCCTCCGAAGACACAGCTCAGGACTCCCCCATTCTTCCTCCCACGTGTGTTATTGGGGCCCTGACCTGGGAGATCGAGTTGGCGATTAGAGAGGCTCAACAGACTGAACCAGATCTCGGAACGGGCCCTCCAGGGCTACTCTTCATCCCCTCGTCAGTAAGGTCACAAGTGCTACATTGGGCTCATACTGCCAAGTTCACCTGTCACCCTGGGGTTCACCGCACAATCACCTTTCTTCAACGCTTTGCTTGGTGACCATCTCTCGCTAAGGATGTCCGCAAATACACTGCCGCCTGCCCAACCTGCGCTCAGAACAAAAATGTCCATCAACCATTTTTCGGTCTCCTCCAGCCTCCAAGCCGCTCCTGGTTACACATTGCTGTTGATTTCATCACTGGTCTGCCCACCTCGTCTGGTAACTCAGTCATCCTCACCATTATCGATCGCTTCTCTAAAGCTGCCCACTTAGTCGCCCTCCCTAAGCTCCCCACTGCACTAGAGACCGCCTGGCTCCTGACTAACCACGTTTTTCGCCTCCATGGAATCCCCGCGGACATCGTTTCAGACGGGGCCGCAGTTTACGTCACGTGTCTGGAAGGAACTCTACAACGCCATTGGAGCTTAGGTCAGTCTCTCCTCCGGTTTCGCACAGTTAGAGGTTGAGCTCTCCGTTTCGTTGCAGGGTCCCTTCATTCTTCACATATCCATGTCGAGCAGAGTGTAAATCCCGAGGCTGGACAGCCTTTGTACGAGCACACATGCATCACTTTATTAAAGTGCAATTCGAAAAAGGTTCTTGAAGTTGTTTTTAAAAATCAGTTTATTAATGTGGAATTCAAAAATGAATTTACAAATGCAGAATTTATTCTAAAATTCATCATTTAAGCAATGAAGTCTTTATTTCGATGCGCGTGGCTCTTGTGGTCCTCCATGAAAAAAATAGTTCATGCATTTATTACTTCTAAGCTGGACTACTGTAATTCAGTATTATCAGGATGTCCATGTGCTCTTCACTTCTCCTTACCAACCAAATCTCACAAACATGGATCCTGTTTAATCCTTCACGGCTCAAATTCAACAAAGAGCTGGAGAGAGAAGGTAATCAGAGAACTAGGAATATGTTTATTTCATTTTCAGTTCGAGTGAAGCTGCGACAGTAAAACACAGATGAGGCATCACGCTGTCGTCAACCATTTCTTTAACAAAATAAAAGCATCTGCATGGAGCCGAATGCACAACAGCAGAAACAGCAGCTCCTCCTCGCACATAAACATCTTTAATCTCCTTGAGTAAAAAAATAAATTACCTCAGGCCAACGAACAGTCAATGTGACATCAGAACAAACTCAGCTGTTTTATTTCTCACCAATATTTACAATAAATATCAGCAACAGCTGCTTCTACAATCTGTTTAACATAAAACATCAAGAACTGGATAAAAATAAAAAACAGCAGATTTTACTGTAACAACTAAAGATACAACAAATATTTGGCATTTTTACACAAAAATAAATAAAATAATTTAATTGTCCTGCCTGCCGATTTTATTCATTTAAATTTGGTTGAAAAGAACAGATGGCTGAACAACAACAAAATATCCACACAAAAAGAATATTCAGAGCCAACTCCCAGAATGCACTGCTGCTGAATTAAGCGAAATAAAGAGCTCTGCTCACGCGTGTCCTGTTGCGATATTAAGTTTTGATCTTTTGTTTCATTTTGTCTTTTGGTCAGATGTTTTGTTTTAAAGAAAATTAATTTGTTGCTTTGTTGCCAGAACATGAAGAGAATCTGAAAATAAGATTTAAATGTTTCTGATACACAAACACCACGTCAGGTTTGTCATGAGGAGCTCCCATCACAGCCAATCACATGAAAGAATCTGAAGACTCGCTCTCTGAATCTCTTCAGGGTTCATAGTTCACCAACACCAGAGTGAGGCAGCTGCTGCTCTGATTCACACATGACAGGATGTGACGTCATCAACAGTAAGCAGGTACGAGCAGGCGGTGCTACACCAGGCGGCGAATCAGGTTGTTCTTCTCGGGCTCCAGGAACTCATCCACCAGGGCAGCGGTGACCTTCCTGAGCTCCTCCTCCAGGGTGGACACCTCGCTGCAACACAGAGAGGGTGATGATGTCACAGAGGCCCCGCCCACACATGAGGTCACACATGAAGTTTGTTAGAGTGACATTAGGACCTGACGTAATTATTCTTGGACTTTATCCTGTATGCTCTAAATAAATTTGGTGCTTTTTTAACAAACGTCGCAGTTCCATCAAACTTTCTTGTGGTACACGTTTCTCTGAAACGTCGTCTTTTCCTGTTAGCAGCACAGTTATTGAGCTCACAGATCAGAGCCAGTTCAGCACTGCAGGGAAAGAAAGCTCCATCAGTCAGCTGGCAGACCACAATTCAGATCAGTGTTATTTATTCACACCTCTGATGAAGTCTCACATGTATCAGTGCTGATAAATGATCAGAATTATAATATTTCTGACTGTTTGAGGCAAAATTGAATCGAGTCGAATGGATTATAGAAATCAGTGATGATACTCAGCCCTCGTGAGCAGCCCAGGCCCGACAGAAGTGCCAAAGAGTGTCAAAGCACTTTAGGCACAAACACTTTTTCAGTCACGAGTGTTTCTTGTAGAACCGAGCTCCAAATAAAGAACTTTGTGTTGACAAGATTGTTAGTTGATCATTTACAAATCAACAGCAAAAAAAGTACACATGTAAAACTGTGGTGTTCAGCGATGCGGGTGAAACATTTGGGTGCGCCGACCTTTTTTGGCACTGCGCACCAGCAAAAAGTTAGTCTAGAGCCTGCGCTAACATTTCATCTCCATCACAGACAAACAGAAACGAGGAGCCGACCTCTGCCCCGGCACCGCGCAGAACTCTGTGTAGTACTTGATCTTCGGTTCGGTGCCGCTTGTCCTCAGCGTGGCCACGATGCCGTTCTGCAGCGTAAAGGTGATCATGTGACTGCTCCTGGACACAGGAAGAACCTGTACGGGAGAACACACCTGAACACAGCTGAACTGAACAGGAGGAACTCGAGGAAGAACAAAACGGCATCTCACAGATCTGAGGTCTGGCTGACTGCTGTCGTATCCCGTGGTAACGTCTCTGACATGAACGATCTGGACGCCGCCGCACGTCTTCGGGTACGAGCCGCTGCCGTCAAAGTTTCTGATGCGGCTGAAGATCCTCTGGATGGTGGGAGGGTCGTTACAGACGACGTAGGAGGTTTTAGACACGTGATACCCGTACCTACAGACAGGAAGTCACACTGAGGATGACTGTCAAAATAAGAGCAGAGCACATTTTTCTGTCCAATGTAGTTTTAGTAGAAGTTTTGTCGAGATGTTTTTCAAAGGATTACAGTGGTCCCTCGCTATAACGCGGTTCACCTATCATGGGCTCGCTGTTGCAGATTTTTTTTTTGCAATTTTGCTTTCTTTGTTTTGTTTTTTACAGCACATTGTGTTCTGCATCCTGATTGGCTGTACACTTCCTGTTAAATCCAGAATTCAAAATCCTGCTCCTCACATACAAGGTCTTAAATAATCAGGCCCCATCTTATCTTAATGACCCTGTAGTACCATATCACCCGATGCATTGAGTTTTTCCTTTCCAGTCACCTTTCTCACTCACTATGTGTTAACAGACCTCTCTGCACTGAATCATATCTGTTATTAACCTCTGTCTCTCTTCCACAGCATGTCTTTATCCTGTCTTCCTTCTCTCACCCCAACCAATCACAGCAGATGCCGCCCCTCCCTGAGCCTGGTTCTGCCAGAGGTTTCTTCCTGTTAAAAGGGAGTTTTTCCTTCCCACTGTCGCCAAAGTGCTTGCTCATAGGGGGTCATATGATTGTTGGGTTTTTCTCTGTATGTGTTATTGTAGGGTCGACCGTACAGTATAAAGCGCCTTGAGGCGACTGTTGTTGTGATTTGGCGCTGTGTAAATAAAATAGAATTGAATTGATTTGGTGTGTGAGGACCAAACTGTGCATGGGCATTAAGGGACACGCAATAAAGTCCAGCATAGAATCTTTTTCACTTGAAGCGGGTCAGTAAACGTCACACAGCTCGACATTAAATGACAAGTTGTGATCGTGATGTTAGAGCGGTGCCCTGCAGTCTTACGTCTGGTAGATGTTGTGCAGCTGTTGGCTCAGACTTAGGTGCTTGTTGTGAAGGTAAGCGGCCATTTCAGCCACGACCGCCGCCGAGCTCACGCCGTCCTTATCCAGGACTGTGTCCCCACAGAGGAACCCTGAAGAGATGAAGGGACACCTGACAGTTTCCCTTCCAATAATCCTTTAAACACAGAATGAATTCAGTTCTCCAATAACCATCAAAGGACTGTGCAGCAACACAGGTAGCTGCTCTGTGCTGGTGCAGGGCACAGACGATGATCACAGTGGGTGTATTATGCTTGAACTGTGATGAAGTCTACTCCCCACTGCTGTGTAATCAGATACTTTAAATTTAAATCAGACAGGAGAGGGTTTCCAGGAAACACCGCTAACTGTTCAGTTTCTACGCCAAACGTCACAGCGAACTTAGTTACCGATGGACTCCTCGAAGGAGAAGATGACTCTGCTTCCTGTTTGGGACAGCTCGTGGATTCTATTCCCGACCCATTTAAAGCCTGGCAGAGTTTCCTGTTGAACACAGAGTAACCATCATCGTCTGACTTCCACACACTGGTGTGCTCACTAATGCCTGAGCGTCTGACCTCAAAGTGGAACCCCTCGATGCGAGCGAAGGCCTGCAGGATCTTCGAGGACACCGTGGTCGCCAACATGTAAATGCTCCGAGCGTCTGCTGGTTCAGAGTGGTTCTCCTTCCACGTGAAGAACATCCACCAGCCCAGCAGGGCTGCCAGCTCGTTACCTGTGAACACCTTCCAGCCACACCTGAAACACAGGGCGATACAGGTGAACCTGCAGCGCTGCCAAATACTTTCAGCTCTGAAGTGCCTTTGAGCAAACATACCCGTCAGACTTCTCTGCTACAGCCAGCCGGTCAGCATCAGGATCTGTCGCCAGGACGACGCGGGCGTTTTCCCGCTCTGCCAGAAGGAGAGAAAGTTCCTGGAAAACAAGACATCGGATAAGCGAACGACAGGATTCGGTCATTTGTGAGCAAACGAGACGGGAACCCGACCCACCAGCACGGACTCTCCCTCCTCGGGGTTGGGACAGCGCACCGAGGAGAAGTTGGGGTCGGGGTCTTTCTGCTCCGGGACGGCGATCGGTGGAGGGAAGCCAAACACCCGGAAGGCCTGCTGCACGAAGGCGTGGCCGACGCCGTGGAAGGAGGAGTGGACGAACTTCAGCGGGGAGCTGCTGTTCAGGTCCCTGAGACGCATCAGGAAACATGCTCTAACGTTGGTGCTCGGGGTCATTTTAAAGGTCAAAGTTCAACATTTTCTGACGTCCTTATACGTTCACATCCTGGCAGAACATCAGGGGAACGTGTCACTCTTACCGCAGGTTCACTAACGTTTCTTTTTTTTTTTTGCCTGTCCCATTTGGTTCTTTAGCCGTCAGAATTGTTGTCTGAAGACCAACAAGGAGACCCAATGGATTTACTTTGCCAAATGGATCATCGTGGCATTGCCGTATTGGTCCATTTGGTCGATCTTTGTTTTTATTATTTATTATATTTTATTTTCAGATGTTACAGATGGGACAGACATGAGTGAGGGATAGGAAAGGGAGAAAGAAAGAGGAAGGAAAGGAAAAACAGAAGGGGAGAGGGACAGTGAG